GTCCTCTTGGTAGCCTTGGGACATTCACTTAGGTTTAATAACCTAATTACAATACTCAACAATAATATGTTCCTTACTTTACTTGATTACTAGTATTCCTATTATTATGTTTTTTTTAATCATGTTATTATGTTAGTGTATGCCTATATGTTATATTTCAGCTGACCCTAAGGAAATTCATATAAATATAATTAAAAGAATCCTAAGATATCTTATAGGCAATTAAAACTTAAGTATTTGGTATCCTATGAATAGTTTGGCATTTGAATTATTTGGATACTCATATTCAATATTTATAAGATGTAAGGTAGATAGAAATAGTACTTTAGGAACCTATAAATTCATATGATAATCTTTAATTTCATGATCTAATATAAAACATAATTCAGTAAGGTCTGGTGTCATTAGCATATTCAAGCATTGACTGATCAACCTCTTTGCTTCATAATATCTTAGCAATGTCGGTTACCTTTATTTAAGCTTCAATACTTTGAGCTCTCTCTATATAAAAGTCGGCCTTTTGACGACTTTACATGAGAGTGAGCCATTATAACAAGGTCAAACACTGTCCTGCATTCTAGTTCTCAAATTACTAAAGTTCTAAAATAAAACTCCCTTTGCGTAAAACAATCAATTTATAAGGGAGCTCGGTTAAAGGTGGTGTGATATTATAATCACATCATCATTTCAAGGTTAATGTAATCTTTGAAACTACAGTAAAAATAGGGAAGTAATTTCACATTTAACCCTTAATTCACATTTGTTCATCACATTTAATTTCATTCACTTGTCATTTTTGGCACTAGTCTGTTAAGAGATAAATGAACCGGAAAACTAAATCTACACTCATAAATAACTTTATAGGTTTTTTACAGTTATCTATCAAGTTATAATGAGGATGCTCACCCTCAAGAGGTGTTCTATTGGAGCACTCGTTTAAGATCGTCAAAGGAACTTGCCTGAAGAGATCAATAGGCTCTACTCATCTGCGACTATTAGGGAGCTCACCATGCATGGGGTTAATTACAAATCCTTCATTAAACCACTACTAGTTGCTACCTTACTTACAAACTCTTCCTCATAATGTTTAAGCTCGCCTAGCTTAGCTACAAAAAATAACTTATTCAGAGAACTCCTCACACTATGCAGCTGCTATATCCAATCTAAAGTTCTTCATTCCCACCACATCTCACTCAACGTTTCCTAAAGGTAGCTCGCAATCTACTTTACAAGTCATCTATCACGCCCAACGACTCGCTAGGGGGTCCCTCATAGACTAGCCTAAAGCTTACTCATCGCTACCGAGCTCACTCGAGCTCACCAAAAGAGAGCTCACCTCATAGACCATTGACATCATTCGCCTTTACCCTATCAAGAGGCGATATGTGTTATGATTAGCATCTATCATTGCATGGGTATTCCGTGCAGTTTGTAATTTTTTTTCTTTTTTCTCTATATAACATTTGTTGTAACCCTCAAAACTCTATAAATAATGTGTGCTAAGGAACAGTTAGGGGACTTAAATTTCTAATGATAATGGATACTCTATTAATTTGACATCTTTAGATCTAATTCTCTGCTTTGTCTACTCTCTCCGCTCACCATTCTTACATGCAGATTCTAGCTCAATAGGTTAACCTGTTAGTACAGTTGGACAACATCAACAATTAAATTTGGATTCAACACAGGTAATAATGAGTTCATTCTACAGGTGAATTCCTAAATTGCTTAAGATGTCAAGACTATTTGACAACTGACAAAAACATTTCTTCTTCAAATGTCCTTTGAAGTGGAGGGCCTCTACAAACGAGGTCTTGAGTATTTAAAACTTAAATAATTTTTGCAGTTAATGCTTATAAAGCTAATGAGTTATGTACATCTTATTTGCCATGGCAATTGTGCAATTTATGTAATACAATATGTTATATATTTTATTTCAAGAAAAAAAATCTTATGGAAGCTACACCTTCACAACACTCTAAATGCATAGGTCCATTCATATCTAAATTACTTCACTCAATTATATATGCTAATACTTTATATATTATCGTTGTTTATGTGCATTAATTATTTCATTAATCTAACTTATGTACATTTATATGGGTTCTAAATTTACATCTCTTATGTTATGAATGTTTATAATAGCTCTTAAATTGTACCGTCTTATTTTATGAATTGCTCTTTTGGGGTATTACTATTATGTTCTTTTATAATATCATATTATGACTATTATGAATGCCCTCGTTTTATTGTATTAATCTTAATGTTGATTATTTTAGAGCTATTTAAATATATCCAGTCGTAGGGCTGCAAGTGAACCAAAATGTTCGATGAGCTACTCATTGTTCGGTTCGATTAAAGCGCGTTTGTGATCGTTTAACTAACTTAACAAACAAACTTGAACAACATTTTTAATACCTGATCCTTAAATAAAAAAGCTTAAACACTAATGTGTTCAGTTCATTTATGTTCACGAACAACATCATTTGAAGCTCGACATTAAGCTCGATCGTGCTCAATTTAAAACTCGTGAATAAATTCGATAAAAACTCAATTAATATTTAATTATGAAATTGATAATATACATAATAAATTTATTTTAATTTATTAAAGCATAATGATATAATTATTTTAATTAATAAATTTTAAATTAATTAAATATTATAATATATGTTGTAATTTTAATTTCCTTACAATTGCTAATTTAGTATATTACATTGTTTGATCATGCTCATTTGATAGCTCAAGAATACTTGTTAGATTTGTTCATGAAGATGCTTGTTTTATAGTTTAAAAAAATTCACTAAAATATTCACGAATAGAGCTCGTTAAGGCTTGTTTGTTTAAAGCTCGATAAGCACTAAACGAACCAAACATGAACACCATTAATTTAAACGAACTAAACATAAACACAAACAATAAAGCTCGAATCAAACATGAACCAAACTTGAACAAGCTAATAATAAATTAACACAAACATGAGTACTCATATATTTGACTTGGATCGGTTCGTTTGCAGCTAGCTCTACCTCATCGTATCTACAATAATTAAATCATATTTAAACTTTGATCATAAATTCAAACCATGTTTTCAACTCATACTCAATCTTTGTTTAATCAAATAAATGCTCAACCCTCATTAAACTCTATTCAAATTGTACCTAAAACTCGCTTGAATATGATTCCAATTACATTCAAACAAAATTTAACATGATCCAAAACCTACAATAATATAGTTTAAATTGTGTTTTAACCTATTTTATTTGAACCGATCATAGAATCAAAAAGTGTGGTTGCCTGTTAAAGCTAAAGCTTCATTTAAGACAAATTTAAATCATTATTTTTTTTTCTAATTTCAATACATTTTGTACTAAAAAATAACAAAACAATAAAAAAATCATCCCAAACAAAATATAAGACAAACTACAAATTTTTTTTTTTAAAACACGAAAAAACCATCCAAACGAAACCTTAAAAAAAACTTTAACACATGTTTTCTCAAAAAAAAAATAATAAATGTATTTCTTTAACTACAACTATCATGAGAATTATTAAGTCAAATTCCTCTTGAGAAACTACCATCAAGAACAAACTCGAAGCAACTTTTTAAAGGACTTATAAAAACAATTTTTAACTTACTTTCTTAAGAAAACAGATAGCCTAACAAATTTCTTTCAAACAAAATGCATCAACGCATCACTTGCCAAAAAATGGCAAATTTGACCTATTCAACTCTATTTATACTGAATTAGAAATGCAGACCGAACCTCTTTCCACAATTTTTAACTCGAGAACGGCATAAAATGTTTATCGGTTTAAAATCATAAAAGGTAGTAAAATAGGATTTATCATACAAATAAAAATATTTAGGAATGGACTTGCTGATTTTTGCTGATGAACATGAACATCATTCAAAAAAAAAAAATTATTAAAGGCAGTAAAATAGGAATTACCATACAGATAAAAATACTTGAGGATTGGACATGCTGATGAATGACCAGGCATCTCATGACGGTCCAAGCATATCTGCACCAGCATGAGATGGTGGTACCTTCCAATTAATCCGAAATCGAAACCATTCCATTAGAATACATAGGCAGGGAATTTGAATGATACAAAATGAAAACGGGCGTTTCCAACTCAAATCAATGAGTGATGATTAGCAATATGATGAAAAGTATTTTTAGATTTCAATTCCTTGGCCTTCAATTCCAAACAGATTTCGAGTTATAGTAGTATGTCATAAGGGAATGAACTGTCGCACTAATAATAATCCAAACAGCGAGTTTATTAAATGAATATCTAAGTTAAAATATGTAAACAAACATGTCACTAAAAATTAGAAATACTTAAATTGACATAGGCGATCATGTTCGACTGTAAATACAATTTCAAATAAAGATCCATGTAATACTGCAATACTCCTCTCTAATAATACAAGTCTTCTACAGCTTCCAGCGGCTAGCTCACTGGTTTATTCTTCTTCTTCAGCTTCTTCAAGCCATTTAACAAATGGCTCAAGAGATTTCACAAAAGTTTGCCTGTAATGTTGCATGAAAGAGTTAGTATACACACTTACAAGAGGGAAGGCTAACCTATAAAAAAAATAACCCAGGTAAACAAGACCCAACTGATTGCAAGGAGCTGGTACAGGAAAGATTTAATTGCGCTACAGATCATATTTCCCTGACCCCTATTTTAGCGGAGGCTTTTGGCTCTCCCCCAGGTCTTGTTAACGGAAATGATCAATTGGATGAAGCAAAAGTGAGGGGGTCTAATCGGGTAATTAGAAAGACAACATTGCCATAAAGACCTAAAATACAAATAGATAAAAGCAACTTGCCCTTTCATAATGATTCGAATAGTGTCACCCACAAAAAGACAAAACCATTCCACATTGGACTACCGCACAAACAAGTCACCAATGGATAAAAAACAACATTACATGGATTTGATCCTTAAGCAAAGTAACAGTTGGAAAAAAACAAAGAAAACAAACAAACAAAATTTCTTGGTCACCAAATGAATCAAATTTACTGGTCCACTATACATACATATTTTTCTTGGTCATGTTGATCACGTTATCGCAAGAACCTAAACCCGATTTAACAAGTCATTGATCTTGAACTGACTCACTCGGCCAATGCCTTCAAGTCACCGAAGATTGATAACTGTTCAGCTTATCCAAGGAGACATATCCAACCCTCAATACTCATCTATAAGGAGCATATCCAAAGTTGCTTACTTGTCCAAAAAATCCATTGGACCGGTCCGCGTGTACCTACCTAGGCGCGAATGAGACGGAAATTCTCCACCTCCTACTCTAGCCGCATGAGCCGCAATGCCCACAGAGCTTTTTAGGAACATTTTTTTTAGGGATTTGGGAGGGAAATTTTAATGTATGGACTGTTTAGGGATTTCCTCTTGATTTGTATGCATTAAATACTTGATTTTTCTAGGGTAAGGGCATCTTGAATTTTGCTGAAATTTGAGATCTCTTAAATTTAGGTTTTTCTTTGGGCTCTAGCGGCGTTTAGAGATTTGAGAGAGATCGATTCTCCTCTCGAATAGAAGATCAATTATATCTTTTGCTATTTTTCGTTGCCCTTTCATCAAATAATACAAATTATATACAATTTTTGTGATTTTGTGAGAATTTTTGTGGAGAATTCTCATTATTTTCCGAAGATTGATAGGAAATACTTGAGACCTACAAGTGTTTCCTATCAAATTGATATCATAATAATTCTTGCGACAGTTGGTGGGCTGTTTTTGCAAATTCCAGCGACTGCTCTTGGGCCGCTAAAGAAGGAAAGTGTTGTTTTTCGAAGGAAAAATCCAAAATATTTGTGCTTGCAAAAATTCGGAGAGCGATGGTGGCAAAAAATGTGGACGCTTTGGAGGAGAGATTGGAAGGAGAGATGAAACAAATCAAAACCACGGTGGAGGACAAAATTTCTTCCATGGAAGGGCAAGTTGCGAACTTATAGGAGATGATGATGAATTCCACAATCAATCGGAGGCTTCCGTGGAGAGAGGGCCAGAAGGACAGAATGCAAATTCTAAAATCCGTAAGGATAAGGAGGTAAAGATCGTAGAGGGAGAAAGGAGAAGATGTCATCGGGAGCATTTCCACAGGGAGGATAGAAGAGATAAGTTTGGGAAAAGGCATGTGTATGGAGGGCAGGAGCAACAGGGCGCTGATGGGGAACGTGGGGAAGGAAATTATGTCCGTCGAGGGCTGATTTTGAAGGGAGGAGAGGAGAATTCGAATGAGGTTATGGGTATTAAAGGGGAAGGGAAGATCGGAAGACTTAGAGGGGGTCAAACACTTGGGAAAGGAAAAACTATGGAGGAATGAGGGGAAACAGGGGAGATCAGAAGGTGAGGAAGTTGAAGATGCCTATCTTCGAGGAAGAGGATGCGTATGGGGAGAAGAGTTGAAAAGTTTGGAAGGAGTAGATGGGGAGAAGATAGAAGCACTAGACATGGTTCAACCACTCCTACAGCAGTATCGAGAGGTGTACTAGCTAGTTCAGGGGTTTCCTCATCCACAGGAATGCGAGCATGATATCATCTTGAAGGAAAGAGTCACCTATTAGTTTTCGTCTGTACCATCATCCCCAAATCCAGAAGGATGAGTTTGAGAGATTGATTATGAAAATGTTGGAGAAAGGGATCGTTCAACCCAGTGTCAAGTGATTTAATAGCAGTTTCCTTCGTTTCGGTTTGAGGACAAGGAGGCACTTTGGGAGGGGAGCATTGATGGACCGACCGATTTGATTAGGAAAGGAATCAAGAAGTTTTCTAAGCAAGAAAGAGCTATTTTTGAAGGTTCTTAATCAAAGGAGAATTATTTAGGAATGTTTAAATTACAATTGGGAGAGAATTATTTAAGAAAGAAATCTAGTTTGAATTTAAAATCTAAGAGATAATTATTTAGGGAAAATGAGGAGGAATTAAGGGGGGATTATTTAGGAAAATTTTAATTACAATTGGGAGGAAATTAAATTTGAAATTAAATTATTTAGGAAAAAGGGATTGATTTGGGAGGGAATTATGAGAGTCTATCTAAGGCTAACAATAAGGTGATTTCATATTATGTTTTGGGAGTTGCAGAATTTAGTTTATTCTTATGTTATTTGGGGTCTAGCCGACAACTAGGGATTTGGGCTTCCTCTCCAATTGAAGATCCAACTGTATCTTTCTATTTTTCTTTCATATATCTTGTAATAAAAATAGTTATGATGTATTTTTCTTCCTAATTTCTTATTATCGTTCACTGATTTCTAGAAAATTGCATCCACTTCCTATCATAAGAGCATTTAGATTTTGCTCTAGCTTAAAATTTTGTAATTACTAATACATTTAAAAAAAATAAGCATATCATCACTTATAAGAATAAATATAATAAAACACAGATTGATTATTTTCTTTAAGAAAATAGAAAGAAAATAGATCGTTTAGATTACAAATATTATAAATGTATTCCTAGTGAAAATTCATGTATTAAAAATCACATATTAGTTTGGAGCTATAAGATAAAAAGGAAGAATATAAAAAATAAAGTAAAATATTATTCTAGGATTAGATGAGACATTTAAATAACACTAACAAAATATTTTGAGAGTAAGATTCAAAAATTTTATGATTTTGTTAGACATGCAAAGAGATGAAAATTAAGGATTTAGTTCAAGTGAGAAATGTATTAAAGATGAAGATCAAAAAATATTTTCACTAGAAGAATATATTCAACAAAGGTGGATGAAAAAATTTGATAAGCTTTTAAATAAAGATGGTGAAAATACCTTTGAATAAACCTTAGCACCCTAAAGGAAATTAGAGTTTTTATTTATATAGGCATTTTCGTAAAACAGAAGTTAAAGAGGCATTAAAAAAATGAAGTGTGGAAAAGCTGTTGAACTTGATGAATTCCAATAGAGGTGTGAAAATGCTTAGGAGATGATAGAATTTCTTGGCTTATGAAGCTTTTCAATATTATTTTGAAGACTAAAAAGATGTCAAATAAGTGGACTGTGTTAATTCCTACTTTTAAGAGTAAAGGTGATGCATAAGAGTGTTTGAATTATAGAGGAATTAAGTTAATATGTCATATTTGACTATGGGAGAAAATTACTAAGCATAAGTTATGACCTATGATGCACCGACACTTCTCCTCAAAGAGGCGTGCAGTGTCCGACACCGTATCCGACACAACACTCGTCCGACGCTCCTCCGACACATGTTGGACACGCCAAAAACGTGTCCAACAACAACAACAACATCAATCCTTTATCCCACTACATGAGTCGGCTACATGAATCATTTTTCTCCATTATGTCCAATTAAAAGTCAAATTCTCGTTTAAATCTATTAAAGAAAGGTCATTCCTAATATTTTCTAACCAAGTCTTTTTAGGTCTACCCCTACCTTTCTTAACATAAGTCAAATCTAATACCTCTACTCTCCTAACCGGGTCATCAGAAGGCCGCCGTTTTATGTGACCAAACCATCTAAGGCGAATCTCTCTAATCTTATCTTCTACTGGAGCTACTCCAACCTTTTAACGTATATGATCATTTCATATCCTATCTCTAAGGATAAAGCCACTCATCCACCTGAGCATCCTCATCTCTGCCACACTTAACTTAATATTATGCTTCTCTTTTAATGGCCAACATTCGGCACCACAAAGCATTGCAGGCCTCACTACCATCTTATAGAATTTTCTCTTAGGTTTGAGGGGTATATTTCTATCACATAACAAGTCCGATGCATTCCTCCACTTCAACCATCCAACTTGAATTATGCTAATAATATCCCCATCAATTTTACCATCACTCTGAACAATAGATCCAAGATATAGAAAACATGTACTCTTACTAATGACTTGATCGCCCAAAGTCACAATCCCCTCACTAGGTCTATTACTACTAAAATTACACTCCATATATTCCGTTTTAAATCTACTCAAGCGAAAACCTTTAGACTCTAAGGTTGACATCCATAATTCAAGTTTACCTTCAACTCCCTCTTTAGTCTTATCAACAAGAAGAATATCATCAGCAAAAAGCATGCACCAAGGTACATCCTCTTGCAAATGTCTAGTGAGAACATCCATGACTAAAGCAAAAAATATATGGGCATAAGGCTGATCCTTGATGTAACCCAACCGAAATAGGGAAATACTTGGTCAATCCACCTTGTGTTTGAACAAAGTAATAGCTCCTATATACATATCTTTAATGATTTGAATATAAGCATTATTGACTCCTTTCTTTTCAAGAACTCTCTATAGCACTTCTCTTGGAACTTTATTATATGCTTTTTCTAAATCAATAAATATCATATGTAGATCATCCTTATTTTCTCTATATTTCTCCATCAAACCTCTTAATAAATGTATGACTTCCATAGTCAACCTACCCGGCATGAATCCAAATTGATTTTGAGAAACATTAGTATCACACCTCAACCTATGCTGCATAACTCGCTCCCATAGTTTTAAAGTATGACACATTAACTTAATACCTCTATAATT